TCTTCCGCAAGGGCTACCAGCTCTTGGACCCTTATGTCACCGTCAGCGTGGACCAGGTGCGCGTTGGGCAGACCAGCACCAAGCAGAAGACCAACAAACCCACCTACAACGAGGAGTTCTCCGCCACGGTTACCGACGGCCATCAGATCGAGCTGTCCGTCTTCCACGACACCCCCATCGGCTACGATGACTTTGTGGCCAACTGCACCTTGCACTTCCAGGACCTCTTGCGCTCCACGGGCCCCAGCGACAGCTTCGAAGGCTGGGTGAGTAGCCATCTGGAGGAGAAGCTGGAGCCAGGCTCCCCTCCGAATGAATGAAGGCGCTCGAAGGGTACTTGCAGAGCTGGGGCTTGTCCTTGCATGCCCGTGCTGCAGATGCACGCAGCCCGGCGTGCGTGTCTGCGTTTACACAGGTGTACCTTCGAGCGTCTGTTTGTGCCCCTGTGCTTTAGATTTGCTTAGGCTGCTATTTCGACTGCTGTTTCAGCTGATGCATTTTGGGACGCTCGGAACAAAAAGTCTCAGCTGTCGTAGCTCGAGGGTCAGGACCCCGCAGCTGAGGGCTGTGAAGTCTCTCCTCTTTGTAGACTAGCAGAGAAAAGACTTGTAATACATAGCTGGCAAAGTGCACCTGCAGACTCACAGGATCATGTACCTTCCTTCTTTTGCTTAGCTCACAGAGGCGTACTTGGAAACTTGGGTACCTGGGGTTTGATGTATTTCTGCTCAAATCTACACATGCTTGCACAATGTTTTTGATGTGTGTGTGCGAATTTCTTTGACTTCTTAACAGAACGGCAGGACTAGTCTTGTGTCTGTTATGTACACCGCTGCGCTGGTTGAACACAGTTTCACTTACAGCTAATTCGAGGTTATTTCCAAGTAGATGTCACTTGCATCCGGCCCAGAGAACCTCGTTTGTATCTTAGCCCTAATGGTAAGTGAAAGGGATAGTACAGGCTCTAAAGTTGTGCCTTTGCTTCCAGTACTGTAGAGGAGTAAGTAACTGTATTGATCCAGACAGTAGTTTGCTTGTAAGTTTTAGGGTAAAAAAGAAAAAAAAAAAAGAGCATTTCTTCTGGGTAGAGGAGGTGCAGAAGAGCTGAAAATTTCCGAGGTTAAGGAAGGTATTAACTTTTTGAGGCCAGGAAGTTCACGTGTGGTCAGGTAAGCACCACAATAAAATCGGACGTGGAGGAAAGAGCTGACACTGTAGAGAACAGATAGGCATCTCGATTGTATCGCTGGGGAGAATGCTGGTGCTTTCTGTTGTCAGCCAGTGTCTGTGACTGAGGTGTGATGCTACACCTCTGGTGTGATTACAGGGAAATGCCAGTCGCAGGACTGATTAGTACGTGTATATTGGTACCATTGTGGTTTTTCTTCTTAATATACTTAGGTACCCTGTGGATAGGCTGGAGGTTTGTGCACTAAAGGTGGTGATGTGACTTTTGTGTTGGGCAGAGGGATCCAAGCTAGCCTCAAACGAGTTAGCTCAGGAGTTGTTCCTGACAGCACAGCCAGAGCAGAGTTCGTGGGGGTTTGCTCGGTGTGTGCGTACCCAGCTTCCCAGGCGTGTTGTGCCATTGGAGAGAAACTGCTCCTGGGATTTGTGCTAAAACAGTTTTAAATACAGAACTGACCCCTCTGGGCCAGGGCAAAGGAGTGAGCTCAGGATAGAGAGCTGTGGTTCTGTGGATTTTCTTCATGTTTGATTTGCTGGGGGTGTTTCCTCTTTGCTGTTGGAAGAGGCCCTATCCTCTGGGGAGGCTGGAGCCCCGGTCGCACTGGGTCTGGCTACACGTGGGATTGGACTGCTCTGTTGCAAAGGTGGTGGCCTTATTTACATTACTAAAATATAATAGCACTGTCTCTGGTGTGGATGCATGCATGCCTGCTGTTTCTTGCATTTCATCCATCCTGCAGTGCTGATTTTTAGGACAGATGCAGTCTGTTTGGTCTTTGCTGAGGGAGAAGTTTCATATGTCTGCTGGATAGGCACACATTTTATCAACTCCTGTACCTGTGAGTTGCTGGGTGCAATGGGGTGGGAAATTAGCGAGTGTTTTAACTAGATTCGTGTAAACTGATGTTATATCTGGGCATGTAGACAGAGGCTAAGAGCCACTGCTGTCCTTTTCAGTTAATATCTAAAAATTACAACTGGGGTGGATTTAGTGGGGAGTGAGCAAGCGTTCATCTTCCGTTCCCTTTCTCCTCTCCCCTCCCTTTTGACTTGCTTCGTTAGCATCTCGCATAGCGTGCAGTCAGGATCACATGATGACAGGGAACAGCATCTTGCCCTGATAATTTAATACATCTTGATAAATCTGGCAAGGCTGTCACGGGATTTTGTGTAATCAGGATAGGAAGTGCTTGGTTTGTACTAACCCAAGGTCCATGAACTGCTGGCACGATACAAGACACCACAAGGGATTTGTAGATGATTTGTAACACCTCTGCTCTGAAATCCTTCATACTGCCCTTTTTCCGTCCCCAAAGCAGAAGCACATATAGGCAAGGAAGGAGTGAATGGAGTGAGGGGAAGATTGGGAAATCCTCAGAGTTTAACCTGGCTTACACTTACTTGGCTGTGCATGGTTTTTCATTTTGATTTGAAAAAGAATTTTGATGTTCACTTTTCAGAGACAAGGATGATAATATATTGGTAAACTCCAAATGCTCCTTGGATTGATAACAGACAAGCAGGGCAGGGCAGCTGACTGCCTCTGCTCCCTGAGCTCTTGTCCGGAGAGCAGAGCTGCCGGGGATTACCTGGGCCAGTCCATCAGCTGATGTGCTGGCCTGAAAGTTTTGGTGTGAGCTCTTAGGCTCATGCTGCTCTGTTTATAAAGGTGGATTTTCTCCTGC